ACCCCAAGGTGTTTGCCGCCCACCCCGAGATCTACGCGTATGGCATGGTGTGCGCCCTGGGCGTCGGCACGATCTGGCTGGCCATTGCCAGCTTTGCCGGCTACAACGTCTCGTCCACCCACACCATCAGTGAGTCGCACGGCCGATCATTGCGCCCCCCAAGTCGGCAAGGCGCCAACAGCTGGTCCATGGTACCCAAGCTGCAGCGCCGCTGCAGGCTGACCAGGGGGCATTCAGCTTGGGGCTGGGGCTATGTGTTGCGCACACCCCTCCTGATGCGGCCCTGCACCCAGCAGCCATTGCCCCGCCCCTGCTCACCGCCCGCAGTCGGCGGTATCATCGGCTTTGCCCTCGTGTACGGCGGCGGTGGCGCCGTCCAGTGGGCCACCCCCGACCCGGCAGCCTTCCCCCCGGTCAAGGGCGTGGTGCCTATCATCCTGTCCTGGTTCTTCTCCCCCATCCTCACCGGCCTCGCCTCCGCCATCACCTTCTACATCGTGCGCACCGCCGTGCTGCGCCGCGCCAACTCCTACAACCTGGCATACTGGGTGCTGCCCATCGCCGTGATCATCACCACCTTCATCAACGTGTTCTTCGTGAGTTGCCCTGGTCCTTTCACTCTCCCCTCACCACCACGGCGTTAATCCCCCCTGCATGTGATCCGAGGTCACGCCTGTGGGCCGGCCGCTGCGCTGGTCGCTGATCGGGATGCGTGGCACGTCCAGGGTCGGCTTGCAAGACAGCATGTGGAGAACCGTGGGTCCCAAGGTGCTGTGCCCGAAGAGCCAGCCCCTGAGCCTCAAAGAACTCTCTGGTCCTCACGCACTATGTCTTGTGTGTGGCCCCGCAGGTCTTCACCAAGGGTGCGGCCAAGACCCTGGGCGCGGACTTCCCCACCAACAAGGCCGCCTGGGTGTCCGCCATCATCGCGGCCGGCTGCGGCTTCCTCACCGCCGTTGTGGTCATCCCCCTGCTGCGCAAGCGCTCCGCCGCCACCGCTGCCAAGGAGGCCGCAGATGCCGCAGCACTTGAGGCTGCCTCCAAGGAGTGAGTGTGCGACGCTTGCTCCGGGCAAATTGCCAGCCCTGACGGCACTCGCGCTTGCTCGCTCGTGTGGCTTCGCTTGCCATGACGTCTCTCTCATCTACACACTGATGCGACTGCGACTCCGCCCCCTGGTTGCCCTCTACCCTCCGCCCACGCTGCCACCTCAGCCCCAAGGCTGCTGAGAAGGTTGAGGAAGTGGCCGAGTTTGACGCGTCTCAGCTGCCCTGGTGGGTGCACCTCGCCCGTTGCCAACAACCCACGCCCTTTGCCATCCAGCCCCACGACTCCTTCAGACCAATGCGCGCACGCTCCTTTGCTGCGCCAGCCATGCTATGCATGCTCATGCTCACCACCTGTGCCGTCTCTGCTGCTCGACACCTCCCTCCCAGTGGGCTGCACCCTGGGATCCCCGGCGCCCATCCCTCCACTCACGCCACTCGCGCATCCCCTCCCCCTCCCCTGGGGGCCGCAGGTTCCGCCGTATGCTGCACGGCGCCAAGACCGCGGCCCTCCACGGCACCAGCGTTGACATCCACAAGGTGGTGGAGGAGGACGAGGTCATCGCCGCCATGCATGCGCACGCCGAGAAGTTCGACCCCGCCACCGAGCGCGTGTTTGGCTACCTCCAGGTGTTCTCCGCCATTGCCGTGATCTTTGCCCACGGCGCCGGCGAGGTCGGGTTCATGGCCGGGCCGCTGTCTGCCATCTACGACATCTATATGACTGGCGAGCTGGTGGGTCGGCGGAGTGCACAGGCCACTGCAGGGACGCGCGCCCGCGCCCCGTCGCCTTGCCGTTTTAGATGAAGGCCGGGCTTGCCATTGAGGCCATGCCATGTCGGCGGTCTGGGCCACGCGAGAGCCGCATGGCCCCTGCTGCTGTGGACCGCTCACACACCTGGAACCCCCCGTGCTGCTGCTGCCTGTGCGCCCCTTGCTCCCCACAGCAAAAGTCCGTGCAGTCCCAGATCTGGTGCGTCGTCCTGGGTGCCTTCTCCCTCGTCGTTGGCCTGGCCACCTACGGCTACAATGTCACCCGGGCCATGGGCACCATGATGGCCAAGCTCTCCCCCTCCCGCGGCTTCTGCGCTGAGCTGGCGACCGCGCTTGTGATCCTGGTCGCGTCCCAGCTGGGCCTGCCCACCTCTTCTTCTCAGTGCATCACTGGCGGCATCGTTAGGTCGCAAGCATCATGGAGGGCGCCACCAAGGGTGTCAAATGGAGGCACTTCGGCAAGCAGGTTTGTGCTGTGAGGGGTGTATTGTGAGCCTTTCCGTAAGGCTTGCCCAGGCAAACACTGCTTCTCTGCGGGGCTTCGTGCCATCCAGCCCAGCCCAACCGGCCACATGCAATTTTGCCCCCTGTTGCGGTCATGGCCTGCTATCGTCCCCTCCAGTCATCCGACAACTCGGCCCATCCCCCCTGACGCCCCCCCCCCTTACCGCAGTTTGCCTCTTGGGTGGCCACTCTCTTCGTTGTCGGCCTGGGCGTCGCCGCGCTCTTCGCCCAGGGCATCTTCTCCCCCTCCAAGATCGATGGCGACAACCTGGTCGCCTACGAGAAGGGGCTCACCGGCCTGTCCAAGGACATGGTCGGCGACTTCAACAGCACGCTGTACGCGCTGCAGACCGCCGCCGAGGGCGGCGCGCTGGCGCAGCTGAGCGCCCCCCAGTGGACTGACCTGAACGCGTCCGTCGCGCTCATGGGCAACAAGACCGCCAAACTGGCCAAGGCCTCCTCAGGTGCGCGTGCGCGAGAGGCCCCTGGTCCAGTGGGTGCCAATGCGGGGAGCGGAACGCATTACGACCTCCCCCGCCCCTTATTCCAGCACCCCAATACCCGAACTGCTCATTCGCTGCGTCCACCCATGCACGCCGGCCGTGCAATCGCGCACGCCGACTCAACCCCCCCTCTCACGCACGCCTGCCTACCCTCCCTACGCGAATTCCCCTTCACCCAGTGAGCGCTGATGCCGTCCTCAGCAACCTCAAGGATGCCCTGTCCCTCATGCAGAACAACTCCATCTTCACCCTGGGCCAGAACAAGGTGTTCCCCGGCGTCGAGCTGTGCAACAGCTTCGAAATCTCCTCGGTCAAGGCGGGCCTCGCTGCGCCCTGCCCGTCGCCCCTGCTGGTGGCGCCCCCCAAGGCTTAGGGGGCTGCCTTGCATGGGATCCTGAGAAACCATTGCAAGCGCCAGCGGCCTGCTGATGTCTAGTTGTCATAAGTGCCAGCAGCTCCGCGCTGCACTGCTTGTCTTGTCCGGCCCTGTATGGCTGCCTGCGCAGTTCTCATACATCGGCCAATCAACAAATACGCACAAGCGTATGCTGCTGCGACCTATCCAACATCCGTACTGAACGAATTACCCCCTTTTGCCACGAGTACATTCGTTGGGGAGCCTCTGTGGCACAGCCCCTCCACCCACCACATTTGTTGCGAGCCTTTCGCGAAAACCCCACGCCTGCCATGCCTGCTACTTGGGCAACCATTCTTGGTGTAGGGGGTGCACTCGCCAGCCCGCACATCGGGCTGTTACCATCTGCATTGCGGCGTGATGGATTGCACCTAACAAAGTTGCGGAGGGCACACACAGGTGCCAGAGCGTGAATCGTGGGTTGCACACGCTGTACATGAAATTCAACTGCACTATGATCCCATACATACTGTCTCTGTAACCAGTCGCGCAACCCTGACACATGGCTGCTGGCACTAACATCCAGCACCAAGCCAGCCCCTTCTGCCTGCACTTGCCGACAACGCATGACACACCGCGCACGATGACACACCGCGTACATGCCCTGGCAGTGAGCGCTGTGCCTTAAGCTTGACTGGATTGGTGGCTGTCCGTGCCAATGTCATCCAGTGCCAACCAGCCCAGCCGCGCGCTGACCAGCGATATGCATGAAATTGCGTTCAAGGTACAGCTTGTCCAGTGGTATCAGTTAGTAAACCGCGTGCAAAAGGGCACACATGCCGCCAAATCAGGGTAACACAAGATTTGGGAGGCCGCTTCTCCTCAGTGGCTCTTGGCTCTTCTATCCTCACTTACGGCTCTCACGCCCATCCCTTCCCGTGGCCTAGTTCCAGGACATTTTGGCTTGAATATTTCTAACTCACGTTCGCCAGCACCCGTCTCAGAGGGCCGAACCACCACGGTGAACGAAACACAGGCCCAGTGCCCGTAGTGGTTAGCGGTGCACCGCTGCGCCTGGGCACCGTCAAGCCCATTTTTCAAAGCAACACTGCACTTGCCAGGGCCGGCACTCGGCCTGTCGTGCACACTCGCCGCGCCTTGGGCCTGCCGGGCACCCGCCCCTCCTGCAAGTGCGCTCACCCAGCAGGGTGCCAGCACTTGCGGCGCATTGCAAAAGGACAAGGTTGCGGTGAAACAGCGCCAGGCTCGGCCCCACCCGGCCGCGGACGCAGCAGCAGTAGCTCCCAAGGGACGGCGGCGGGCTGCGCCTCTGGCGGCGCATGCTCGGCGCCTCTGGCGGCACAATGTCTGTGCCGATGGCCGTGCCAGGGGTGGCATGGTCGCTTGTGGCCGTCATCATCGTGCTGTTACAAGCCTCATCAGCAAGAGGTGCGCGGCGCGGCGGCGCGGCTGATGCAGCAGCGGCGCTGTTCGCGCCCTGACTAACGCCCGCGTCACGCGACTTACCCCAGCCTGGGCCGTGACTAATAGTGGCGTCATGCGACAAACCGACCACCACCGTCCCCAGGCATCAGCTGCTCAGGACGGCGCCCGCAGCAGCGGCAGAGCTGCGGCGATAGTAGCTGCGCCCTCCTGACTGCCTGCCAGCACCTGCCCGCCACGGGCCAACGCCCTTCACCTGAGCCCTTCACCCTGCGAGACCGCCACCCCTCCCCACCCCACCGCACCGACCCGCGCCCCGCGCAGCCCAAGGCCTGCGCACCGAAGACTCCAGCTATCTCGGCTCCAGCCAGCGCATGCAGGCGCTGCAGACGACTTATTCGGCCACCATGGCGTCCGCCGACAAGCTGCGCGCCGCCTGGACAACAACGCTCCGCGCGTCGTGCGGCGCGGGGAGCACCTCCCTCTGCGGCTCCGCGGCGTATGACAACGCCGCTGCCAGGGACGCGCTGCTGCTGGCGACGTCGCCGACGGCTTACGACAGCCGCGACGTGAAGCTCAACGGCGGCTTCAACCCCATCTCCGCGCCCGCCGATCAGGGAGACTGCAACGCCGTGGGTGCCCGTGGGCGGGGAGGGGCGAGGGGTGACTCGGGGACGCGCCGGCAAGGGTGTGTCCGTTCAGACCGCGCAGCTGCCGGTGTGCGCAGGCACCTGCGGCTGCTGCTCGCCGTTGGCGACGTGTCTTCAGCGCGCGCCGCGCAGCGGCTCGGTAACGCCTGGCGGCGTCTCATCCCGCGCCGCCGCCCTCACCCCAGTGCGTCAGCTTCTCCGTGGCCGCCGCGGCCGAGGCCGCGATGGCGACGGTGCTGCGGAAAAACGCGGGCGGGCCGCTCACGCCGCGCCTGTCGCCGCGGGACCTCTACTTCTGCGGCAGCAACAGTGAGCGCATGGGGCGGGGGAGGGGGGGGGGGAGATGCAGGCAGGCCTCCGCCCTTCAGGCGCCGGGGCATGCACGTGCGCCAAGGACGGGCCGAAGCGCCCTGGGCCGTGCGCTCGCCGCACAAAAAGCACAGGGCGGCGCGCAGCTTTTCCCTCCCGCGGCTGCTTGTCCGCCTCTCCCCCCTCCTCCGTCCAGCCGCCGGCGCCCCCACCCCCTCAAGACCCTCCCCCTCTTTTCAAACCATTCCCTGCCGGTGTGCAGGCGACGAGGCGAACTGCGTGTATGGCTGGACCTTCAACAAGGCCCTGGCTGAGCTGTCGAAGCGCAAGACCATAGACACCTGGAGCTGCCTGCCGTTTGTCAACATCGAGAACGTCCTCCTCGCGGGTGCGCGCCGCCGGGCTGCGCCCCCCGCCAATCCTGCCTGAACCTCCCCCCGCGGGCTTCCCTCGCCCGCCGCCTTGCCCCTCCCCTGTGCCGCCGCCGCCGTGCGCAGCGCGCGCGCCGCCTCGGCGGCCGTGTATCGTCCCCGGTGCTGCGCCCCTTGCGCACTGCCACTGCCGCATCACCTGGGCACCGGCGCGCCCCTCCACACCTGCGC